CTTATATTATATATATATATATATATATATATATATATATTATATTTTTTTCAATATTTTAAATGAATACAATTTACTATATTTTTTATTATTTCTTCACATTTTGCATTTATTTCGATTTCATCCTTTTATGTTTTTTTAATTTATTTCAATTTTAAGTCTTTCACTTTTATATGTATTCAATTTAGTCCTTAAATTTATATTTGCATCTTCATTTGGCTCATTGTTAGTTGTTATTTATATTTTTGTAACTAGCCCATAACTTTTTAAATGAGTATAATTTAGTCCTTTTTTTATATTAATTTAAACCTCACATTTAAATTTATTTCAATTTGGTCCCTTAACTATGTGTGTTGTTTAATTTATATTTTAAAATTTTAGTTGTAATTTTACATTTCTTCAATTTTGTCCTTAAATTTATATTTTTTACAAAATTGACCAATGAATATTTTTTTTTTTGTAATTTACTCGAAATCATATACAATTATAACTTGCAATTCAACAATCACGAAAGATGACAAAATAATTAATCCAAAAATAAAAACGACCTGAACTCAATCCGTATCCAGTAAACATCCGACCTGAATTTTATCTGTTAATGATGTGACCCGATCTGAACGAGATCCGACTGATGTCCACCTAAACCTAAATTAACCTAGTATTTATCTGTTTCAGACATGAACTGTTTTGACATGAACTGACATCGATCCGAACTGAAAATGACCTGACCTAAACCCAATCTGGATCTGGTGTCAAATCAACTTGAAAATGACCCAGACTGATTTGACATGTACCCGACCTTATCCGAGTCAAACCATCAAATTGACCTGATTTGACCTGTACCCGATTTTACCTTTCAAGATCCGACTGAAACCTTTCAATTACCTGATTTTACAGCTTTAGTCCTCGCCGTGTTATTACTCACTGTGAGTTTCGTGATTTCATCAACCAGAACAAATCCTGGGACATTGACGAGCTTGTTCAAGTTCTCCCTCATTCTGTCGTTACCCATATTATTGGTATTATTCGCCTTAACCCTATGGGTGATGAGGACTACTGTGTATGTCAATGGCACCATTCCTATCATTTTCGCATTGACTCTGCTTACTATAAAATTGTTGAGAATTTAAAGGATCCCGTGGACTTGAGATGGAAGGTTGTTTGGTCGTTGTCGAATCCTTAACGCATCCTTGTGTTCCTTTGGATGTCTCTCAAATACTGTATTCTTACTATTCAAGAACGGTGCCGTTGTGGTCTCTCCCAGTCTTCGATCTGCCCTCTTTGTTCTGCCAATGAAGAATCCATTCTCCATATGATGAGGGACTGCCCTTCAATGAAGGGTTCGTGGTTGAAAGTCATTCCCTCCGCCCTCACTCGAAGTTTCTTCATGGCTCCTTTGTTTGACTGGGTCATGGATAATTTAACGAACAAGGACAACTTCCTAGGTATGGTCATTCCTTGGGCTATTTTCTTTCTAACCTTCATTTGGCAGATTTGGAAACGGAGGAATTGCTTTGTCTTCAACGATTCAAGTCATGGCATCGATGACACCCTTCATCATAGTATTTCTTGGTCAACTCATATTGAAGCATGTCGTCAGCCCACTACTCCCCCAAGGGCTCGACAACCAACTCTGACCATGTGGCAGCCTTCCATACACGTGCAACACTGCCTCAACATTGATGCTTCAGTTGATGTTCTTTCGGGCCTTGGCTCAGTTGTTGGGGTGCTCCGAACGAGAGAATGAGACTGGCTTCAAGGATTCCACAAGTTCATAGGAATCTCGTCTCCCCTCATAGCCGAACCTGGGGTATCTACATTGGCCTACAGACTGCTGGAATTATGGTGTTGAAGCTGTGCAAATCCAGTTCGACAACCAGTGAGCGATTCAAATGCTTTTAAACCTCAATGTTGGTTACACGATGATCCCTCTTGTTCGAGCTATTAATACCATATGTGTTCACAGCTGGTACACAGTTTTTATGGGTCCCTTGTGAAGAGAACATGATAGCTGATGGAATGGCAAATCTTAATCTTCCCCGCGATTATCTGCTACACTCTTTTCCTTCTACTCTAGACCCTATGCTCCAGCTTGTTGCTCATGACTTATACATGGTCCTCCTTACATTAAACTTGTCTCAAAAGCTAATTACTCTTTACACACCTTTTAATTAAAAAAATAATAATTAAAGATAAATTTTATACATATATATCATCAGTATAGCTCAACTCATGCTAAATAACTTGCCAAATCAAACAACCCATTGCATAATTTTAATAACATAACAAATATTTTTAAGATTTAAAAAAATTATTCAATTTTTTTATAAGTAATCTTTTATAATTCAAAATTTATAATCCAAAAGAAAGCAGCCAAGCTGCTACATTCAACCAATCAACACAGTAAAAAACATCTACCTCAAACCCCAATCAACACATAACCACAAATTAACCCCATCATTCCTATCAATACGACTATGAATCAGTTTAACTCTAACAGTCTCTTTAACACAATTAACAATCTCATCACTCAACCGACTAACCCCTCTAAATTGCCTAAAGTTATGTTCTTCCCAAATGAAAACATAAAACCAGTCCAAGCCAACTTAAGAACTTACACCGGCAGCGACCTACCCTTCCAATGAGCAATAGCCCATTGCAAATTATCATCCTAACCAGAAAACCTTAAACTTAAACCACATAAATGCAGCACCTCCAACCACACTCCTCTAGAGAAATGACAATCCGAGAACATGTGATTTCTCGACTCCCCCTCAACGCCACACAGTCTACATCTCTCATCCATAGCTATACCAAACCGAGCTAGTCTGTCTGTGGTTGACAATCTGTCAAGGATGACCATCCAAGTAATTATGGAAAACTTAGGAATATGAGCAAGGAACCAAACAAGTTGTTGGCAGCAAACTTTACTTTTAATATCCCTAATTCTTTCCCAAATCCATTTACCCTTAACCTGAGACCAAACAGTTCCAGAGCAGAACAATCCACTCGTTTCATTCCTCAATTTCAACTTCCTAAGAATATAGCTAAAATGAACCCTACATTCAACATGCCAGGAATCCTCAGCTTTTAACACGTACTCTTTGATCCAAGCCACCCACAAAGGGCCTTCACTAGCCAAAATATTCTTGGTCAACAAGAAACTACAAGCTCTATTCCAATCCATCAGACTCTTGAGAACCAAGCCTCCCTCTGACTTCAAAGAGCAAAAGTAATTCCAACTCACTCGGACCCTTTTAGCAGCAGTGTCATTTCCTTTCCCAAAAAAAAAACCTCATGCACAACTTTTCAATCTCCCTAATGACAGCTTTCAGAAGAATTAACTGCCTACTCTAGTTAAAAATACTAAAATGACCGCTTTTATTAGCTGCAGTCGACCCCCATAACTGAGCTTCTTACAAGACCCCTTCCCAAGCCTCTCCTTGACTTTCTTCAATAAGGCAGATCAGTCTTTACGAGAAAGCTTCCTTGTCACCAAATGTACCCCAAGATACCTAACAGGAAAGCATCCCAACCTGAACCCAGTAGCCCTCTTAATCAAGCCAAGCTCACCCTCATCCAACCCACAAGTAAATAGCTCCGTTTTGGCAGCATTCAACCTCAGGCCATAATAATCACAAAACAACTCCAATGTACTAAGAACCCCCAAAATCAAATCAAGAGGCCCATGGAAAAAAACCAACAAGTCATCAGCAAAACAAAGATGCGTAAATGTGACTCTTTTGCATTTAAGATGAAAACGAAACGCCCCATTTCGAGTAGCAGAGTCCAACAATGCAGACAACACATTCATAACCATCACAAATAAATAAGGGGAAAGAGGGACCCCCGACCTCACCCACCCTTCCACCCTTAAAACCCCAACTAAGCTACCATTAAAAGAAATTGAATACCTAGGAGTAGTAACACATTCTTTAATCCAACCATAGAACATAACAGGAATACCCAAAGTCTCCAAGACAGTCAACAAAAACTCCCAATTAACCCAGTCGAAAGCCTTTTGAAGATCTATCTTATTGCTACATCTAGGTGAAAGAGACAAAATTTGAAAAACTTCCAAGTCTACTTTCCTAATAAAGCTCTATTTATAAGCTCAAGATTTAGAACCCCAATCCCTCCCAACGCCTTAGGCTTACAAGCAATCTCCCAATTAACCCGACCCATGCCCATCCCTAATTAAAACCTTCTTATAATTTCAACTTCTTAAAAACATGTATACATCTTAATATCTAAAAATAAACACATACTTGGCAAGTGTAAATATATTTTTGTATTTTTATATATAAAAATATTATTAATAAATTATCTCATTTTTTATATTTTAATCAGTTGATATATTTTAAACATTATAATATTAATAAATATAAATATAATTTAAATAATATATTTTTAATTTATAATATAATATCTAAAATAAAATTTTTATATTTTCAAAACATTTTTTAACAATGATCTCAAGTAATTAAATTTTAAGCTACACTTTTAAAAATTAATTTTTAAAAATATTTTTTACAGCACTTTTCAACAACAATACCAAACTGACCCTCAGAAAAAATAGATACTAAATCCTTTAAACAAAATTTATAGTTTAGAACTTGGAATTATAAATAAAACAAATTAGATTAAATATATCATCTTATAATAAATCTATATAATATATGATCAAAATTCATCGATCAATGAATGATATACCCATAATCATATAAAAATATTGAAAACCATTCTTTTCATAGTTTCATATGATATAGTAGGATAATATTCAATAATAATTTTATTTTTATTACCATTTTCATTTTATTTTATTGATGAGATTACGAATTTATTTAAAGGGATTAAAATGTACAAATAACATAACTCAAAGCACACAAGTGTAGTCGGTTCTGGAAAAGGAAAACAAGAGTCATCGTCACTTGGTCATTTGCTCATCAATAAAATATAAAAACTCAGAACATAAAATAATAAATCCTCAAAGCACCTTTCCAGAATTGCGTCCCTCTTTTCCGCTCTCATTTTCACTGAATCTATTCAATAAAATCCAGGCCCATTGGTTGTTCCGCTGCAATTTTTCCAAATCTCATCTGATTTTCTTCGTTTAGTTGGATAATTTTCCTGGGAAATCAATTTTTTTATAGGCTATTGATCATAGTGTATTATTATTACCAGTTCATAGATTTTCACACTTTTGTTTTCATAAAATCTCAGCTTCACATCTCAATTTCGAAGCTACTTTCAATCAGTTTCGGCATGTGTGCTAGAAACTCTTTATACACTAACCCCAAACCCTGCAAACACCTAGCTGATTACAAGCTCAGACATGGCTTCAATGGCTATGATTCCCTCCAAAATTGCCTCAAAATCACACCTAATGGAAGAGCTAGAGTTGATAAACACAACACTAAAATACCCAGATGCAATTTCTGTAATGGAAGTCAAGGTAGACTTTACATTTGTTTGATTTGCTCTGCAATCTCTTGTTCAAGCCACATTCTTTTGCATACCCAATCTGAGAAGGGCCATGAGGTAGCTGTTGACATGGAAAGATCGGAGCTTTATTGTTGTTTATGTCGTGATCAGGTCTATGATCCTGATTTTGACAAAGTTGTAGTGTCTAAGCAAGTCAAGGACTTGCCTGGCGGTAGCAAAAGCAATGGTTTTGAGGGGGGTTGTGACGGATCAAGCAAGAGAAAGAGGTTAGATTCAGGGATAGGATTGGATTTGAAGAAATCGAAGCTCTTGATTACGATGAGAGATCGGAGGGCGAAATCGTGTTATCCGTTGGGATTGAGGGGATTGAACAATCTGGGGAGTACTTGTTTCATGAATTCTGTGTTGCAGGCTTTGCTTCATGCCCCTCCCTTGAGGAATTACTTTCTCAGTGATCGGCACAACAGTTTTCAATGCAGGAAAAAATCTGGTGAAAAGGTCTGCTTACTTTGCGATATCGATGCTCTTTATTCGGCTATGTTCTCCGGTGATCGGACCCCATATAGTCCAGCTCAGTTTCTTTATAGGTATGGAATTAATAATTTTGTGCCTTTAGCACAATGTTTTGATTTACTTGAGATCTAGAAAGTGGTGTTTACTAATAAAGATTCTTGTGTTTATAATCAACTTTCAGCCTCTTGATTGAAACTAAAAGAAAAGATGTGAAAATTTTATGACTGTGAAATGAAATGAGTCTGCTTTGGTTGTTTGATTGAAATTTGAATTAGACTGAAAATTTGGTTCGATATCAGTTAGGCCTTCTCAGGGATTGTAAAGATTAGTCGATCTTAAATCAAATTCTTCATATTAGAAATGAAAATGGCATTCTTTTGGTTTGTTGATATTTCATTTGGGTAATCTTCAATTTCGTCCTCCCTTTCATGGGTTGAAAATGTCTAAAGATGGATCCATTGCTTTAATGATGGATTTATGTTGTTGTTTTTGAAGCTGGTGGCAGCATTCATCGAATTTGGCTAGTTATGAGGAGCAGGATGCTCACGAGTTCTTCATTTCGGTTTTGGACGTGATTCATGAGAAGGAAAGCAAAATGCTGAACTCTAGGAAAGGTAATAAGATGCTGAGATGGTGTTTGCTTTCATCGATTTCACATCATATATGCAATTACATTGTTAAAAGGTGGTCATGGTTCTCTATCTCAAATGCTGTTAATCGGTAACCGTAAATACAATTTTACTTCTGGTGACAGCAACCGTAGAGGCAGAATGCAAAATTTGATTAATTTTTAGAGGTAGCTTCAGATTTTGATATCGCCATGATGATGTTGAAGATCCGGGAAACAATTAGAACTGATATGTAGTCTCATTTTTACAAACGCTATCAAGGGTATCTCGAGAATTTTAGAAACATATTTGGAATGCCAACGATGTTTCTTGAATTGGTGGTCTGGATGTAATCTAGGTTTGAAAGAAATAAAGTTCTGTCACATTGCTGTAGTTCTATTTCACTCATGAAATTGTTATTCTTTTACACAGATGATGGATACTGCCAATGTATCGCTCATAGGGCGTTCTCCGGGTTGTTGAGATCAGATGTCACATGTATCTCCTGCGGGTTTACTTCGACAACTTATGATCCTTGTGTTGATATTTCACTCAACTTGGACACGAGTATCTTGTCTCCATCCGATGTAGCTAACAAACCCATTAAACCAGATGAGAAGACGGGTGTTTCTACTCTTTCAGGTTGTTTGAATTTGTTTACAGGAGCAGAGAAGTTAGGTTCTGATCAGAAACTCCATTGCCAGAATTGTCAAGAACTACGTGACTCGTCTAAGCAACTTTCTATTAGAAGGCTCCCATTGGTGCTGTGTTTACATATAAAGAGAGTCGAGCACTCTTTAGTCAGAAAAATGTCGAGGAAAATCAATCAATATTTGCAGTTCCCTTTCTCATTGGACATGACCCCATATTTGTCGTCCTCCATTACTAGAAACAGATTTGGAAATAGAATCTTTGCTTTCGAATACGAAAACTCCGATAGTTGTGCAGAATACGAGATTTTTTCTGTGATTGCTCACTCGGGAATGCTGGAATCGGGTCATTACGTGACTTATCTGCGACTAAAGAACCAGTGGTACAAATGTGATGATGCTTGGGTATCCGAGGTTGATGAAGGAATAGTGAGAGCTTCACAGTGTTATATGTTGTTCTATGTACAGAAACCACTTTTCTACAAAGCAAATGAGGATACGAGATGCGTTCGTATTTCCCCGCGCAGAGATCCGTTCTCGTCTACAGCCGGTTGTTCCTCTAATGCAAAATAGTCATGCAAGCAAGGCTAGCTAAAGAGAGTTCAATCAACAGTATTCTTTGAAGGAGCCTTGTGGAACAATATCAGAGAAAGGCTGATAATCAGAAGCAGATATCCATGTAGCAACTTCCATGGCTGCTGGATGTGTCCCATGACGGGATTTTCTTACAGTGATCCTCTACAGTTATTGCCCAAAAACAGTGAAGACAAATCAATATTTTTTTCATGTTGGCTCTCAAAAAGATTCTTAGTCTGAATGTTTTTTTCTACCGCCGGCAGTCATGCACAGGTAAATAGTTTACAACATTACATTGTATACCCCTTGACTGCAAAAGTTTCTAAAAGGGTCATTTTCTTTGCATGGTTTTTGTATTTTATTTAATCAATTATGCTTCATCCAGCTCTAAAAGTGTCAATGGTAGGTATCTTTTTTATTGGATTTGAAAGAAAATGTCTTATTTCAAGTTAGAGTATATCATCCAAAGTTGCACGCTTCTGCCCTATACAATTAGAAAACATAAAAGTCAAGTCAAGCTTGAAATAACGAGTGGATATCATTTTATGCACCGTTGACAAAAATTATTCCACAAGTATGCCTATTTGAAATAACAAGTGGCTATTTTTGAGTTTTGCTCATAGCCTCAAAAATATCGAGACAGTCTTGTTTCTTACCATTGGGGATACCGCTTCGCTTGATTATCAAGAGTTTTGAACCAATCCAACAAGCAAAAATTAAAGACCCTTGTGCCAAAGGCATCTTAGAATTATTATGACATGAAGTTACAAGGATGTCACCAAGATCAAAAAGCACAAAGAACCAACCAGGAAACAAAGAGCAAATAATGTAATAAACATAACAGAAAAACCCCCATATTGATCCGGTGAAAGGAGAACAATACTCGAAATCATACTAGATTGTTAAGCTTGAGTAAGAGAGATTTTTCAAGCAAAAAACATGCACATATCGTCAAAATACCAACAACTCAAACAAATATTATGTGAGCATAGTAAAGGTCAATCTTTCAAGACAAAAATACCATTAACTTTGCTTATAGGTACAACAATGACCACACAAAACATGTGCTATTCATCTGTAACTTTGGAGAAAGCTGCAATCGTTCTCAAAAACATATGTGCAAAGCTAGGAGCTATAATCGACCACATAGTTATCACATATGAGATCTTCTGCACTTTGATACACATTTTCTTTCTATTACCACTTTCTGCGGAAACGATTTAATTAATGTGCCAACTTCTTAAGGTGTTGAAATAGTTTCTGTTTGATCCATTCCCTGTCATTAGGCAAAAAAGCTTGAATCCTGTGATCATAGCTGCAACCAAGAAAAAAAATAATGAAATCAATCATCTCACAAATGAAACAATAAGATGCATGCTACAAATATTAGGTAAAGCGGCTTTGTAAGGACGTAAGTTGTAAACTGATCAGCTTCCGATGGACATCTATTCAAAAAAAAAAAAATCCATTGCAAGATGCTGTCTCCCATATATGTGAAGACACACTCATCATTACTGCATGATTGTTGGACCATTCTCAGAATATAAGCAATATATAGGCTTCCCATCAGCCATATGAAGGACAATGTTACCCAGACTCTTCATTTTTTACTTAAGTGTTTAACACTCGTGTCCAGCACATATCTGGAAATGGGTATAGAGATATGATCTTCTAACTATATATATATATACATACAGGACAAAACTTATTCGAAAACATACACAAGTTATTCCATTGCAACTTACGAACTCAAAACACAGTTATTCCTTGGGGTTCAGTTTTTACATGAAATATTTGTAAGTTTGAGTAATGGTTATTATGGACACGTGACTATTAAGCACACAATATAACATAAAACACATTATTATGATCCATTAAAAAGAAAGTAAAAAGTGGTGGACAATAGAGAAACATACACAAGGGCGCTCATATCTGCAAGGCCATCAATGAAATTGTAAAGATCAGAAATGTCATAAGTGATGTTTCCTGATGCTGGATTTAGATCTTTAAGTTTCCTTTCATATAATCCACATATCCCTGCACATGCAAAATGGCAGAAACCACCAAACATGTCAAATCTTTTAAACAACAAAAAGAGTAGATTCAATCTGTAGACTCATGTTGGACCCACTCTAATTCATTGCAACTTGGAAATATAAATAATTTTGGGCATATATTCTAGAGAAAGAAAGACACATGATATGCAAATTCAAATCTAAAGAACACTTTAAACTCCCAAAACCAACTTCCAAAAGGTACAGTCCACACTGCCTGCAATTGATGCCGATTACAAGAACAGTAGGAACTTAAATCCCAATCCCACAGGCAGTCCAGTCATTCGAATTAGCAAATACATGTAATAATATACAACATTTAATAAGAAAAAAAACCCAGAAATCAAGAAAATATAGGCAAAATTTAACAAAACATACCATCCATAGCTTGACTTATGGAATCATAATCCATAAATGTCCTCGTTGCTCTGCTCTGTGAAGTTTGCATCAAAATAATGGTGTGCCTGTTTGACTAAATTTCGCATGAAAAACAAACGTAGATTAAAAATACACCACTGACCGTAGTAATCCAAAAAACTGATTACTACCATAATAGGATTGAGCGTGATTCACACGCCGGAAAGAACCGATCAATCAATCTAACAATTAACTTCTACAAAGGAAATCATAAATCGTGTAGTAATAATCTATCTGCAATTCGCTCGATTTAAGGAACTGTGCCCCTTAATTTTGCATTGAAAATAAAACATTTGATGAAACCCTAATTTCCAGAGGAATAAGATGAAATTAAAAAAAGAGAAGATTTTTAGAAGCAAAAATAATCAATCAAAGAGAAATTACCATGTCTGCCGGAATCGTATGCTGGGGTGGAACTGAAACAGGAAATGCAAGAGAATCTGCTGCTAACGTTGAAGTGCTGAAAAACCAAAAGACAAACAAAATTAAACGAATATCAGAAACCCACACACGGCCGAGAATAAATCAATTTTATAAAAAATAACAATTGGGTCAACGACCACAGGTTATTGTATTATAAGTAAGTCTATAACTGAGCTATTGTGTTTTAAAAAGTTATAATTTAGTCATTCGAATAATTGATTGTAAGTTTTGTTAGATCTCAAATGGCAAATGGTCGTTTGATATGTAATTTTTATTCATGCAAAATTCACGTCATGACCATAATTTTATGGTTAGATTGCACCACAAATCTCTCTATTGTTAGTAAGTTATAATCTAGTCATTGTATTTAGAAATGTTACAATCGAGTCATCATTTACGATGGTAATAAAACTCCAACTTCACCATAGAACTCATCTTAATCTTATTGATTGATGCATCAAATTAGAGTCCTGAATTTCTCTCTTAAAAGCCACAAAATCACTCAAAAACTTTTGAATTTCTTGAATCCGATATACGACGTCCATGTCATACGGTATTCATTTTGAGATATTTTCTTCCTCCATCTAACAACAGCCTCTTCATAATTTGGATCGTCTAATGAAACTTTGACTTTTGAGAAACACAAGTCACTCTAATCATCAACATGCATAATAAAAAATAAAAAAAATGTTTTGTAGTGAAACCTTTATTTGTTTATCTGAGATTGAACACCACAGTGATATGATTATTACAATCGAATAATTGATTAACTTTATTCTAATTTATCGACGCATGATGATCCAATTTTAAATTTATTAAGAATATATAGTGGCATTTAATATAATTTACCGAAATATTCTTTAAAATTGCTTAATACCAACTTTAACCCTCTATTTTAATGAAATTTAAACTTTATTTATTTTGTTATTTATTATTTCAAAATAAATATATTAAATAAATCAATTTAAGTCGAGTTCTAAATAAATTTTATTAATTGTGTTGAAACAAGGAAAAGGAAAACATGAATTGGGCCTAGGTAGTCCAGTTCCAAATCATACAGATTACGTGATCCATGGACGGAATCAAAAATAAAGGAGAAGAATACACGTGGGAATAGGAGAATAAATAACCAATACGCACCGTATCAGGACAAGCAGGAAAGAAAACTCCCCCGCAATTGGTTTTCCTCATTGTTTATTTTCCTTATAACACACACTCCCCAAACGCGCTCTCGTGTTTCTTTCCCAGATCACACCTCCATTCCTCATTTCGAGAAAGAGAGTGTCTCCGCCGTCGATATGGGATCTCGATTGAGATCTGTCAACAAATCAGCCACCGCTATGATGTCGGCGCTTCTCTTCCTTTTTTTTCGTTCACGGCGCCAACTGTTTTTATCTAGGATTATAAATGAGACGATACAGATCGCGAGTTATTCGAGATCGAATCACGAACTACTCGATATCTACTCGGTAAAAGCTCGATCAACACTCGAATCGAATGAATTCGACTTGAATTTAACTTGAATTCTTAACAAACTATTTAATACTTAAATCGAAAAACTCAGGAGCTACTCGAAAAAATGTTATATTATAATTTTAGATTTTTTAAAATTACATTATTAAAAATATAATTATTAAAAATATAATAAAAATATATTATTGATAATTATAAACTTTAAAAAATATATTTTTAAATGTAATATAAGATTTTTAAATATTCAAATTCAAGTTTGAATTCGAATTTGAATCGAGTTCGAATTTGAATCGAGCTCAAAATTGAGCTTCAATCGAGTTTCAGTCTCGAGCTTCAATCGAGTTCTTGATTTTATTTTGACTTCGAGCTTTTTGGAGTTCGATTCGAATTTTAATATTATATTTCGAGTTCGATATGAATTTGATAATTTTTAGCTTGCGAGTTTTTGAGTCAAATCGAGCCTAATTCTAAACTTTTCAAGTTTGAGTAGAGCTCAGCAATACTCGAGCTCGACTCGACTCGCTTACAGCCCTATTTCTATCTTTCCGGCGTTGCCCCCGAAGACTTTAAGAAGGTCTCCTTTCGGTTTTCTTGTTTTTCTTTCTTTATTGCTCGATCTGATTTTCATTTCGTATTTTGAGTTCGATCTCTGTTTGTTTTCAATAGAACATCAGGATAAGGGAAGTAATAAGTGTTTTCTGTGTTGGAGATGGAAATGTCGGCTTCTTAACTTCTTGATTTGTTACAAGTAGTTTCAGATTCAGCTAGGATGTATTGAACGAATTAGCTTCACTTCTCCTAATGATTTTTTTTTTGATTAAAAACGTTGAGAGTGCACACCTTTTGGTAACGTGTCATTGAAATATTAAGGCATCTGGCAATTGTACTATATGCTGTCTGATTTATGTAATGCAACTGTTTTTAGCTTGAGATTAGGAAACTTTGGTCTCCAAAGAGGTTTAGTTTACATGCCATAATGAAGGCATACATGATTATGTTGTTGATAGTATTTGTGTACCTAATCAATAACGACTTTGACTAAAGTTAGACCGCTTCAGGTTCTTGCGAGGTGTTCTGATATTTTGGAGTGTTCTATTGGGAACTATTGTGGTTTTGTTTCATTATTGGTTCTTTTTGCTGGGGGTTTGCAGGGGGATCTGTTGAAGCTGAAAGTGAACAAATTGACATCTATAAAGACACAACTTCCTTACTCTTATTATTCACTTCCTTTCTGTGCTCCGAAAAAGATAGTGGACAGTGCAGAGAATCTAGGGGAAGTGCTCCGCGGTGACCGTATTGAAAATTCTCCTTATGTGGTTGGTTTTTGTCTCCGATGATAACGAGACATTGTTTTTATGACCATTAACTCTTTTCTTCTTTCTTCTTATTCCTACTTTGATTTGGATTAATGCAGTTTAAAATGAGAGAGCCACAAATGTGCACCATTCTTTGTCGAATTACACTTGATGGCAAGACTGCAAAGCAGTTTAAGGACAAGATTAATGATGAATACCGGGTAAATATGTAAGCTATTTTTTTTCTAACATGTAATTTATCTGTCAATCTTATAATTGGTCTGAAATGAAGGTTCTTTTGCTGATAAATTTGTGATTCATTTGACAGGATCCTGGATAACCTTCCCCTTGTTGTTCCTGTTTGAAGATTAGATCAGGAGTCTAGCACCGTTTATCAGCTTGGCTACCATATTGGACTCAAAGGGCAATATGCTGGGGTAAAACATAATAATCTATAAGAATCAGAACTTTCTTTTTCTTGTAGGTGTGTCAGCTGTTATGTATTCTTACTTTGTCTGATTACACTCAGAGCACGGAGGAAAAATATTTCATTCACAACCATTTGGCATTTACTGTCAAGTATCATAAGGATTTGCAAACTAACTCTGCTAGAATTGTTGGATTTGAGGTTAAACCATACAGGTTAGTTTCTCTGAGCTATGGATATTGTAAAATTGTTAAATCTAGGTGTCTATGGTATAGAATCTGTTGTTGGATGACATTTTCTTTCTGCATCAAAACAATGCAGTATCAAGCATGAATATGAGGGGAAGTGGAGTGAAAACACTCGTTTAACAACATGTGATCCCCACAATAAACGCACGGTGGTTAATTCTAACACTCCTCAAGAAGTTGAAGCAAAGAAAGAGATTATATTCACCTATGATGTTAATTACCAGGTCAGATCTTCAACTAAAATAATTATTGTTGCTTATTTGCAAAGTTTTCCTACGGTGTCAACCATGTGCTCAAGCACCTACTATGACATTCATTTGTATTTAAGTAAATTTGGCTGATGAAATATTACTTGGAAAATGTTACCAATGAGGTTTTGACATCATTTTCAAATTAGGTGCTAACATTTTTATATTCTCTTTTGTTGATTTTCAGGAGAGTGATGTGAAGTGGGCATCTAGATGGGATGCATATCTTTTAATGAGTGATGACCAAATCCACTGGTTCTCAAATTGTCAATTCTTTGATGATTGTTCTCTTCCTTTCAGGCATGGTAGCAATGATCATGCTAAGGACGCCATACCGTGATATTTCTAGGTATAACGAACTAGAAACCCAGGAAGAAGCCCTGGAAGAGACAGGATGGAAGCTTGTACATGGTGATATTTTCAGGACTCCATCTAATTCTGATTTACTCTGTGTCTATGTGGGAACTGGTGTTCAATTTTTGGGCATGATACTTGTAACCATGATCTTTGCTGTTCTCGGATTCCTTTCCCCTTCAAACCGAGGTGGTCTTATGACAGCTATGCTCTTACTTTGGGTCTTCATGGGTATTTTTGCTGGCTATGCCTCTGCCCGTCTTTACAAAATGTTTAAGGGAACCGAGTGGAAGAAAGTAACTCTCAGGACTGCATTCATGTTCCCAGTCATTGTCTTTGCCATTTTTTTCTTGAATGCTCTCATATGGGCCCAGAAGTCCTCTGGGGCTGTGCCTTTTGAGACAATGTTTGCTCTGGTTCTCCTGTGGTTTGGAATATCAGTTCCACTTGTTTTTGTGGGTGGTTATGTTGGGTTCAGGAAGCCAGCAATTGAGGATCCTGTTAAGACAAATAAAATCCCTAGGCAAATCCCTGAATAGGCTTGTTATATGAACCCAATTTTCTCTATTCTGAATAGGAGGAATACTTCCCTTTGGAGCCATTTTCATCGAGCTGTTCTTCATTCTCACCTCAGTCTGGCTGAACCAATTCTACTGCATCTTAGGTTTCCTTTTCTTGGTCTTCATTATCCTCCTTATCACATGTGCTGAAATAACCATTGTGCTTTGCTACTTCCAGTTATGCAGTGAAGATTATTTGTGGTGGTGGAGGTCATATCTAACAGCCGGCTCCTCGGCCTTGTACCTCTTCATCTATGCCACATTCTACTTCTTTACAAAGCTTGAGATCACTAAACTGGTTTCCGGGATGCTTTACTTCGGATACATGTTAATTGCGTCGAAAGCATTTTTTCGTTCTAACCGGTACCATTGGATTTTATGCATGCTTTTGGTTCACAAGGCTTATCTACTCATCTGTCAAGATTGATTAAATATGTAAAACAGGATATGGGTATGATTATGTTTGTCTTAGGGGATA